CCTTTGTGCTGCAGATCACGGTGCTGGGGACGCCTGCGGAAGAGCAAGGAGGAGGCAAAATAGACCTGATCAACGCTGGAGCGTTTGATGGCCTGGATGTGGTTTTTATGGCACACCCCTCGCAAGAAAACGCAGCTTACCTGCCTGATGTGGCCGAGCATGAGTGAGTGGGTTCAGGTGGAAAGGGGTGGCTTGCTATTAGCCTTTTCTCCCCTCTCCGAGTAGGGGAGCTGCTTTGGAAGGGGCTGAACTTAGGGCCGGAGACCTTGCAGGTGCCCTTCAGATGAAGTATTTACAGTCAGCTAAGGAGCCAGGTCTCTGTTCCAGACGCTCTGATCTGTTCTTCCAAGGTTCAGTGTTCAGCCTAGCATTAAAGATCCCTGATGGCTCTGAGATAATCTTCCACATGTCCCTGAAATCCATTTGTTCTTTTGATATTTCTAGGCATTTCTTTTTAAACATGCATGTGATTATTTCATCTGTTAAAAAAGGAAAAATATAAAAATGCAACTGGAGAGACCCTCATGGATCATAGTCCCCTGCTTTCCTGGGCACCAGGTCATGTAGTCCTCCATATGCATTTTATTTTAATCCATTTTGAAAGTATTTCAGGATTTCTGTCCCACTTTTGAAAGAGCCAGTCAGCTAAGCCTGACTGCTGTTTGGATCTTTATTAACTTCCAGTCTAAACTTAATCATGGCCATGTTATATCTATTAACATCCACATCAGCTTTTTTTATTCAAAGTAGTTCTTGGCTTTCCTTCTTGTTTGCCCCCGGTAGAAGTATAGACAGCAGTCATACCCTCACTCAGCTGCTTTTGCCAGCTAGCCATATAACTGTTCGGTAATTATGCCCTGTCTTGTTTTGATTAGCTCTACTACTTAATGACAGCACTTGTTCATTTGTACTTGGAGTCACTTGACTTGTCTTGAAATACTCCTTGCTGGATGTGCATAAGCAGGATTGTACACAGTACATGAGGTGGAATTTCCTTCGACCTTACTCAGCTGATGCTGGGACCATAGTGTCTCCTTATCCTTTCGGAATCAACTGGCATGTTTGGGGCTTCCTCTTCGGTCGTTTCTAAGCAATCAGCTCTTAGAGAAATGCTTAGTCTGTAAGTACGTGATCTTTTAAAAAACTTTTGAGCTTCCATCGGTTTCTCTGCCAGCCTGCAAGGCCATGCTGTTCTTCCTTTGATATTATAAACCTCTTCTGTTTTCATAGTGTTCCAGCAGTAGTCTATCAGCAGGTTTTGTTACTACAGTTTGTCACAGTTACTAATGATTCTTGATCAGAAGGTCTTATCTTGCAGAGACTCCGCTAGTAACCTCCCTCCAGTGCAACAGTTTTTTCCAAGTATTATGTCTGGGTGTCTCTGACTAAATTCTGTAATATTTAAATAACTGGTTTTTGAACCATTTCTGACGATGTACTGAGAGCCATTTTCAGCTGGGTTCTGCTACCTTCCAGCTCCTATGTGCTTAATTTTATCGACCATTTTGCTTTTGCCAATGATATTCCTGGTGGATAATTTGCTTCTGTTACTGCCAAGTTTTATGGTAAAACAGACAAGGTTAGCAACACCTGGTCTTCCTTGTAGTTCTCTGCTCTGTTCCATCATTGCATTTCTAAAGAGTCTTAACTGGTTATTATAATCTCCTTCAAGACCTATCTCAGCTTGCCTTTTGGTCGCTGTACCAACGACTATATTTCTAATCTTCAAGATGCAGTTTTCATTGATAGTTTTGTGATTCTGTTCATTTCAACTCCTGCAATAGCCTTTTGAGTTTGATACAGTAAGATTTGGAAATCTCCCTTCAGAGGTTCCCTTCAGAGGTGATGATCAGAGGTGAATCACCTTCAGAGGTGATTCGGATAGGATGTAAGTCCTAGATAGCCTTTAAACCTTGAGTATGGGGGAGGCATCGCATTGAAATACTGAGTGAAACAACTTACTGCCTCCAAAAGCTTGAAATACTGAGTTTGTCATGATTTATGTAATTCTGAGATTCCAAAGGTACAAAGACTGTTCTGATAATTTGTAACTGATCTTTGGTTGTTTTCAAGGAATTTAAGGACGAGTGATCGGTAAATTACTAGTATTGCTATATCTGCAACCTCTGAAAGCTGGCTTGTGCCTGAAGTAAAGTTAACGTACTGGGATGACTGTGACGAATACATACCAAAATTTGCTGATTCTTATTCACTTATCCTTCACTTAATCAGTCTACTAATTATTTGTCAAACAGGATCCACATTCTTCTGAGATCCTTAAACTGCCTTAGGGTGGTGTTATTCACCAAAATCTGTTAGTTTCTTTCTGAGAGTGTGTGACATTTGTGTAGCAATAGAGGTACAAGAAAAGGGGTGCTGAAAGAACACATTTTTTAATAAGCACTATGTTTCTTGTGGGGAAAAAATTATTGCATCATGACTTTCTGCTTTACTTTGCCTTCTCTCCATTTTTTGGAGAATATCCAGGGATCTATTCTGCCTTTGAGTTGATTTGAAGGGTTGCAGTCTAATACTTGGGATGTTAATGGATAAGTTTTATCTTACTTAAAATTTATTATCATTATTAAATCAACTCATACTTTACAGAATGGGATGTATGGTTGTCTTGGAGGATGAGAGGGGATGGAAAAGGGCATACTTAATTTGGATTGCAGGCAGTAACAGGAGACACTTTCTGCTGCAACGGTACACTCCATTGTGTCCCGCTTTGCTATCTGGTGTGTAAGTTCTGGTACCAGCTTACAGCTATGCGGTGGTGCAGAGCGTGAGGGGTCAGTTTGGGGTAAGTGATTAAGTTCGCATTTGTGCGAGACAGAGGGACAGGCGAGTTAGGCTCGTCCTAGCTGGGTAAGAGACGGGTTGTGCATCTTGGGCAGGGGGAACTCTTTGAGCTTGGAGATGGAGTTTTTTTATGTGAAGGACAGGGTATTGTCTACAAACAGATTTAGTTAAATTCTTTACTATTGGTAAAAAACCTTTATATTTGTGTATTTGATAAATAGTAATACCTTATGTATTTGTCAGTATTTAATATTTGCCTCTTGTCTAAAGAGTTTTCATATCATTTGCATTATTAAATTATTTTGTAAGGCTAATATAAATGGCCCTCAGGTGAAGCAAAGCATGAGTTCTTACTGGATAAGTTTAAGTGCAGTATTTTATGACTTCCACAAAGTTGGAGAATAAGCTTTGCACTAGATTTCTTCCTTGTTGCAGGCCTTTCTACCAGCATTTTTGAGGTGTGCAGGGAAAACATCCTTGCTGTAGCCTAGTAATGTGTATTTTCTACTAGGCTATGCCTTTACACTTTTAAAACTTGACTTTTGTTATTTAGACATGGGTTGTGTGTGATCGTATTAATGTGCTTTTGCTGTCTTATATATGCACACATTTTATTTAAGTTTGACAAGAATTAGGACAATCAACTTCTAATTTTGAATCCGAGAAAAGGGTTGGTTTTCCTCCGAGAAGAATGTTAGTAACTTTAAGTCTCAGAACAGGCAGGCAGTATAAAAAAAAGTGTTGGAGAAATGTAATATGTGAAACCTATTGTTCTTGGGGAAAAGGTTCTCTTACTGGTAACTCTTTTGCCTGGTTGGCTCTTGATATCATTCCGTTTCTTTGGTTGTCTAGAAATCTTTCAGCATCTTCCTGCACTCAAAGATAGTTCAACTTTGCAACAGTGTAGTGCTGGGTAAATTGTTTGGTGTTCTGCTGCACAAAACTTAAGTAACAAGTATTTGTGTGAACAAAAGGAACTCTTTATTTTAGTGTGTTTTTCAGTGAATAAGAAACAAATAAGCAATGCCTTTTATTTCCTAGTGTGACTGTGAAATACTATGGAAAAGCTTCTCATGCTGCTGCTTATCCTTGGGAAGGAGTTAATGCATTAGATGCTGCTGTTCTTGCATACAACAATCTGTCTGTTTTAAGACAGCAAATGAAACCGACCTGGAGAGTTCATGGTGAGATCTTCATTAAATCTAATGTCCAGCAAGTAAACGTTTAGGTTGTTGAAATACTAACTTACAAAATCCCACAATTTAAAGTATTGCATTATTGCACTAAATTAGTGTAGTCACTTCAAATATTATGAAATAGCAGTGTTTCATTTAAATAGCTTGTCTGTAATTTTTAAAATCATGTCAGTGTCCAGAACTAACTGCTGAAAATAGGATTACAGGTCAGATTCAAAAGAGGACATCAGTACCTAGGTAGAGGCTAGACAAATTTTAAGCTTTTGCACTTGAAGTTGCAGTTCAGAAAGAAAAAAAAAAAGTGCTAAGTTTATTTTGGTACATGGCCTTGAATTCCTTACAGTTGATGTATGTGTTTTTGCAAAGGAATAAGATTAAATATTCTGAAAAAAGTATTACTTACTGCATCATTTTTGTAGCAGATATTCCATTGATTAGATGACATTTATTGGAAAGGGTTAGTGGTCTAGAGCAAGTGAAGTTTATTTGCTGAAGTACAAAAAAACAAGTGATAGTAGAAGCCTATAGTTCTGGTTAGTAGCCCAATGAACTAGATGCTCACTGGATTCTAATATTTAATATCTAGCAGACTTTGGAGTAGAAAGGTCACTTTACAATAAGACACATTAACCATTAAGCTTGCCTCATACTCCTTCATCATGCATTTGTTTTTGTATAGTGAGAAAGTTTCAGAAGTTGAGATGGAAGCTGCACTTTAGCTATAAACCCAGGTTTCCTTTATTATACCCAACACAACTTTTTCCAAGTTGAAATTAAGAAACTTTGCCATTTCTGCAGGACTTCTGAATGTAGAACTGTTTATTTGGAATACTTGTTAAGAGCTTGTAGCACTTCCAGAAGTTCTGAACTAATCATTACATGTCTTGGCTGCTTGTGCTGTATAATACATGCGTGTGTGTCTCTCCAGGATATCTGGGTGGAGTCTGGAAGCCATAACCCTTTTGACTGTAGATGAAGATGTTTGCAGTTCTGCTGTGCTGCATACTCAAATGAATTTCAGGCAGCAGGCACAGCATCTCTGTCCTATTGCTTTGTAGGAAACAGAGCACTTCATGATGAGTCTTGGTGTCTGAAACTCATGTGTGGCAGGCTTAAAGTTGGAGGTGCCTAAGTCTTCTATTGAATTTAAGCCTAAAATCCTAAATACTGCTTTCTTCATGGTTTAAGGCCTATGTGGGCAATGTAGGCAAAAAACTAAGTAGCTAAACAAGCCTCCTAGAGGTAACGCTTCCTGAAACAGCAAAACTTAAATTACTGTGATACAACTGCTGTCATAAACCTGGTTTTCAAACAGGAAATATTTAAAATACTTTTGGGAAAGTATAAGCAGCCAGAATGAGATAATTTTAGGAATGCTTGCTTTACAACAGTGTGTTGGAAACTTGTGTTGTAGACTTGTGGTAAGAGCAGCGGTTGACTTAAGTGATCCTAAAAATCTTGTTCTTAACGCATGAAGAAAAACTGAAATAATTTCCATTGCTTATAAACACTAGAAGTCTAGAATTTCTGTACTTGAACATTGTTGGTGTGAGTTTGGCAGATATTTGATAAGTTATCTTTCTTCCCTGCTTATGAGTGGAGTACATGTTACCCCCTTGAAAAATAGGAATGTAGATTTTTTTCTGTTCAAAAAGTGGTATTAAACAGGCTGTAAAAAAAGTTCCATCTAGATGGGCAAAGTGGGTGCTACTAGTAGTCTGCAGGCAGCCTACTTTTAAGCAGTCCGTATTGCAGTTGCTTTGAAATTTAAATGTAGATATACTCTTAGATTGTATCCAATTCCATTTACAAATGTGCTGGACAAGATAAGTGAAAGTTGCTTACTCATTAAGCTGTGTGTTTTGAGCAAATGTATTATGGTATGTATCATGCAAATTTGCATGATTACTTACTTGCTGGTTCCTTTCCTTTGATGTCTGTCCCTCTCATCTCAGCTGTTCTTTTTGCTATGGACTAGCGCTTATAGTGGTTTAATTCAGCGCTTTGTTTACTTTGACTGTATTTGAGATTGGAAAGGTTTTACAAAAAAAAAGGGGGGGGGGAGGGTGTACTCTTCATAGGTTTTCTGCACAAAAAGTAAAGATTTGTAGCCTGTTTGCATCCTGATAGTGCTGTTTTTTCAGGCATCAGTGACACACATCAGTAACTTTGTGCAGAATTTCCATTTAAGGTAGATAGTTTCTCAAGTCCTACAGGAAAAAAAAAATCTTATGCTGCATATATAAATTGAGGGTAGGAGACCAGGAAATGAACAGCCTGTTGAAAGCAACTAGGTGTTAATGCGTTGAAATCTAATATAGAATCAAGGTCCACAATGTTTTATTGTTGAAATATCTAAATATTATGGTCTTTGGTAATGCCTCTGCCATAATTGAAAGCTATGTAGCTGTCACATGTTTCCTTGAGGGAACACTTTCAACTCAAACTTCAGTCCTGAATAAAACTACGTATATTATACATTCCAATATTTCTAAAGAATTAGTATGAAGAATCTAATGAACTTTCTGTGCACTGCAACATGTGCATTACTCCAGTATTGCTGAGAAAAGCAACTTACTCAATTTCTCTCCCAGCTGGCAAAATAAGTTGGAAATATTCTAGTTAAGGAAACCTTTAAAAGCTGGAATGCAAGATAGCCTTTATAACAATTTTTTTTCAATGGCAGCCAGATTGCTTTACAACTCTGCATTGAGTTTCAGGGGATTAATTACGAATGCTAGTTTGGCTTGTCTTTGTAACAGGTATCTAACCAAATAATGCAATGAAATTGGGCTGAAAAACACTTAATCTGACATGATGAAGAAACTCTATCCACATAGTCTATTTTTGACATTCGTTGTATTTCATGCTTAGTTGATGTTTTTTTGGGATTTGTTTATATATATATTTAGTTCTTCAGAGAAGTTTCATGACAGGGCTGAAGATCAAGCAGTTCTATTTAATGCTGATAATGTGACTCTTCCTATTCTGCAGGTGTGATAAAAAATGGTGGTGTGAAACCTAACATCATTCCTTCTTACACTGAGCTAGAGTTTTACTTGCGTGCCCCATCAATGAAAGATCTTTGTGTTCTGACAGAGAAGGTTGAGAACTGCTTCAGATCTGCTGCAGTGGCCACAGGATGCAAAGTAAGAATGTATTCATGGTCATCTGTTTCTGTTATGCTGGAGATAACGTGGGCCAGAGTAGGAAATTGAGGCTTACAGCATTTGTCTGCATGGTGTTTAGCTGAAATAAATCTAAGTTTCTATGATACTATTTGCTATTCTGTTGCTTTGGGTCCTGAAAGAAAGCTTTGGTTTATAAGTAGAACATTATGGAGCCATAGAAGAATCTAGGTTGGGAGAGACCTCCAGAGGTCATCTAATCTAACCCTCTGTTCAGAGCAGAACCAGTTAGAGCAGATTGCACAGTGCCGTCTGAACTTCTGAGTATCTCCAAGGATGAAATTCTACTGCCTCTCTCAAGCTCTCTACCCACCTCATGATGAAGTAGTTTTTTTCCTGATGTTTATACTGTGATTGAGCCCTGGAACAACTGAGGTTGCCTGGAGAGATTGTGGTGTTTCCATCCTTGGAGATATTCAAAAGCTGCCTTGATATGGTCCTGGGCAGCCAGCTATAGATGACCCTGCTTAAGCAGAAGAATTGGACAAGACGACCCCCAGAGGTGCTTTCCAACTTCAACCATTCTGTGATGCTGTTGTATCTAATAGGAATTTCCTTTGTGGCCTCTTGGCATATCACTGGGCATCTCCGAGAAGTCTGATTCTGTCTTCTCTGTACCCTCCCCATCTGATGACTGTAGACAGCAATAAGATCTCGCCCTAACCTTCTTTTCTGAAAGGTCAACAAATCAAGTTTTCAACCTTTCCTTGTATATCATGTTCTCCAGGACCCTAATCATCTTTATGGCCTTCCCCTGGACTAGCTCCAGTCTTGATTTGAGGAGCACAAAACTAACACAGTACACCAGATGTGGTCTCACAGGAGTTGTCTGCATCAATAATAAAGATATTAAAACAGTAATGGCACCAGTATTGATTGCAGATGACTGCTACAAGTAACAGGCAGCAATTGGGAGTTTTGTGCCGTTGAGCGTAACACTTTGAGCTTGCATGTCCTGTGTGCCCTCCAAGTCAGACATGTCATCATGAAAAGCTAAGCTTGGTCATGTACTGTGTGCTCTTCCATGAATATATACTGTATGTTAACAATTGCCTTTGATTCATGTGCCTGGACATGGATCTTAAGAGGATTTATTTGCTCTGTAATCCCCCTGGGAGCTTGAGGATAGGACGTTCTGACCAGCCTGTAATTTCCCAGATTGTCCTCTTGGCCCTTCAAGGTAGATAAGACCTTTAGCTCTTTTTCAGTGACCTGGAACATCGCTTTCTTTTAATGACATTTGAAAAACGATAGCTTCCTGATTGCATTGCTGCTTCTTTCTTACTCAGCATCCTTGAATGGATCCTGCCTGGTCCTGTGTATGTACACTAAGTGCCCCATAATCTCTTTTGTCTTTTGCTGTGAGTGATGCTTCTCTCCTACAGACAGTGCTCCTAGGCTCAGAGACCTGGGAGGCTTGATGGCCAGCCTTACCAGTAGGAACAGGCAAAACAGGTATTGAGTGTTTTGTCTTTTTTCCATGTTCTTTGTCACTAGGTCCTCTGCCCCATTAAATGGCACGCTCACGTAGCAACCAAATGTGAAAAATTGAGTGATTTTTTTTTTAGTTAGCATTCTTCTCACTTTTTCGCCTTTAGTAAAGGGAAGTGTCTCCTGTAGCTGGTTCAAGCAATATGATTACCTAGCTGTGTATTGCTAAGATAGGTGGTTCTACCTGCTCTGTAGTTACAGGTTTATGACATACAGCTGTGACAAGAATGTCTGTGCTCATCAGAACAAATAGGTATAGTGTATATGGATGTGGGCTACTGAGTTTTAAGGTCTGTTTGAGGCATTAGATGCTATTTTCCTAGTACGGCCTCTCCACTCTAGCTGGAAAAGGATTTCAGAGAGTGTACTCTATGCAGAATGAAAGTTAAGATCTCTTCTCAAATTTGACACTGCACATGACATTTGACACGGTTTTTTTACAGTTTTCAAACTTCTTGCCTGTGTGAAGTCATTTCATGAATGGGACTGTAGTTATTGGAAGCGTTCTAAACAATAGTAAAATGGAATTTGGTGAAAGCCTGAATTGATTTCTATGTAGTTTAATACTACCTGCAGTGGAAATCATTAGGTGCTGTTACAGGAAGTGTCTGTTTCCTATTTTTGGAGATGCTGTCCATGAAACCGATGCTTCTGGAATTTGGCTGTTTAGTGCAAGCATGACAGAACACCAACTGTGTTTTGATCAAGGGTGATACTTCGCAGAATGTTGTATTTTTGGAAGAAACTTAGCACTTATGTCTGTTTTGACATAGCCTTGAAGTATGGATGTGTACTTATTTTTTCTGGTGTTTAAATTGTTTACATTAAGCTGGTTTAAGTTGGAGAAAAATTTCTCATAATTTGGATTTTTTTGTCTAGGTGGAAATAAAAGGTGGTGAAAATGATTACTACAATGTGCTTCCAAATAAGAGCCTGCAGAAAGTTTACAAGGAGAATGGAAAGAAGCTTGGAATAGAATTTATATCAGAAGACTGTATCTCAAATGGTTTGTCAGGTAACTCCATCTGTGTGTTTTCTTATGACTTAAACTTAGCTTGATCAACTCTTAGGTGTATAAAATAATGGGATAGAGCTAGGTTAAACATGGTTTGGTCAGAAGGAAAAACCAGGTTAGAAAGTTAAAGCTCTGTAAAAGGATTCTACCTCTGGCCTGTGTTTCTGTATGTTGTAGAAGCTGAGAAATCTTCCCAACAGGTATGAAAAGCAGTAATCATTTTCTGATAATATTTCTGAAAATATTTCAAGTAAGAAACAGTTTGGGGGGAGGGATGGAAGGATGAAAAGCTAAGACAGTCTTACTGAGAACATGAGGATGTGTAATGAATTGGAGCTCATTCTGTTGCTTTGAAATACAGAATCCTGGTTTGCTGTGGATGGAGATGAGACATGGTTTTTAGGAACCTTGTTTAATAATATTTTCTAAGCTTACATATAAACAGATTTGCTAGCATCTACCTAGTATTTTTAGAGTGAGTTTTTGAAGAGATTTGTAAGTGGAAGTGTAAGCATATCAGTAACCATAATTTAAACCTCTTTCCATTAACAGGTAATTGTATGCCTCTAACTTTAGTTCGTGAGTTCAGCAGATTAGTTTTTGAAAAGGATGCTGTTCAAGTAGGTGTTCACTTCTGGGTCTTGACTATGTCTCAAACTCTTTCACTTTCGTGGTCTCAGAGCTATAGTAATGTGAATTCTCGAATGCTTAGGCAGGTTTCTCATTACCCTTAATGGTTGTTGTTTTTCAGAATCTTCCTACAGGAGCTCTGTTCAAGTCTTAACTGCTGCTGATACTTTATAGGCTTCACTACTGATCATAACTGTATATTCAAATACTTTTACTCCACTCATGTTAAAGATTTTTCTCTTTGGTTGGGAGGAAAAGTTGTTATTCTGACTAGTTTGCAGTACTAATCTCTATATTAAGTGCAGATTTGGACAGTTGAGATCTTGGTGTTTGGGGTCAGTTCTTCAGAGTGTTGTTTGAGTGGAGGAGGAGGCAGCATATCTAATGGTATTCTGATGGGTTTTCTCTCCTTCTTGCTTCCCTTCCAAATTAAGGCAACAGTAGCATACTTTCTTCAACTGGTTCATTGTCTTGGATTTAAAGACAAATCCTAACTAAAGGCAGATTTCTTTTTTCTTCAGTGTGGTACCAGTAAGATTTACTACTTTGCTCTTTTAGCCTAAGAAAGGGGCTGAGGAGCCTTACTTAGAATGTTTAGTGTAGTGAAACTTTCTGGAGCTCTGCTAGTTGCTTCCTTCAAACCATTGTATGAAAGGTGAAGATCATGAATACTGGTGATCTTCGTGGTTCAGAGGACTTTGAATGAACTTAGTACAGACACCTAATTGTAATAGTGCTTTCATATGTAAGTTACGTGATATGCTAAATGCTAACTGTTAACTTGTTTAAACTGAAACTCCCCATATGCCTGCCCTGTCCTTAAATTGCTTGTCAAATGTCAAAATGTGCATGAGCAATTGCTTTTTTATCTTGCACTGCAGTAGGCTTTACTGAATTTTCTTTCCACAGCTTCTCCTCTGAATTTTTGCAGTGGGGATTCAGGAGTGATAACAAAGCACAACCTCCAGAGACAGAGTGGAATTTTGTATGCTACCCTTTTTTTCGGGGGGTTGAGTGTTTTGTCTCATCTTTTTCAAGACCTCTATTTCTGTTTAGTTTTCATATGGTTTTCAATGTTTTCTTTTAGGATATCAGTTTCTTCTGTTGAAAGGGAAGGAAGATAGCTCAGTTGCTTCTCCATGTCTGTGCAGCAGAAAAGTCGTTAACAGATGAGCATACTCGCTGCCACCTCTACATGGGTATTAGTATCGGTCTGCTTACAGGTATCGCTCTAGGCAGCTAAGCGTTAACGAAGAATTCCTTTACTCCATCAAATTACACTGCCTTGTGTGTGCCTTGTGCACGCTCCACTCATTTGGCACACAGCCAGGATGATGTGAAATAATGTGAATTGGAGTTTGCTTTGACCAGGTGCCATAACCTGTTTCTTCTTCTGCTGGTAGGGTAGCTCTGCTGCAGGATACTGATAACCTCCCAAAGCAGATGGCTTAGTTTGGATGTCTCAACTAAGGCATCCTATGCTTGTGATAACTTACTCTGATATTTTTAGTGTTCACGGGGTTCGTTGGTTTCCTCTGCAGAAGACAGATATAGATGATCTTAAGAAGGAGCCAGTATATTTTGGAAATACCACTTTTGAAGCTTGAGGCTGTATATAAATGCTTCCTGGAGTCTCTTGTGTTTCCCCCTCCATTTGTTTGTGGTAATACTGACTTCCATTACATGTTCAGTGACTTGAAGAGGCCTCAGTATCAGCTTCAGGATATATTTTTGAGAGGCTGAAGCTGCCAATACCTTTCTATTGAAGGTAGAGCACAAGTCTGTGTATTGCATCGATAACTGCAAATATTTATACTTCTAGAAGGAATCCTGATTTGTACATCCCTAGCAAGCATACAGTTCCAGATGCTTGTATGGAAACCATTGGAACACCTGGTGTCTTAAACATGCCGCTAGGTTACTACCACTTAAGGATGTAACATTTTTTCTGATAGAGGGAAGATTTGACTGTCACGTTTTTATTAAAAGCTGCCTAGATTATTGCTTGGTAAGCTCTCCATCTTATGAGAAAATGCCAAGTTTCAATCCCTTACATTCAGCAAAATAACTTGTAAACTGGTTGTAGATTGGATGTGGATATAAGTTTAAGTGGAGTTACATGACTGAGAGCTGGGATGCACTGAAATTTCTAATGCTTCATTTGCTGAGTGAGAGCAGGGGAAAAGGCCAACACAGTTTTTCCAGCAGTTTGTGTACTAGGACTTAGTAAGGCAAGCCTGGAACATTTGGTGTAGTCTGGAGTAGCCAGAACTTCTAGACTTCTGGCTTATCTTTCCAGACTGACCAAAGAATGGATCAATATTGTAGACTAATAAAATTAAAATAACTTATTGCTGTGCCAAGAGTTGGATTTTCTTCAAATACATGCTGAATTTTATGGGAAAAGATCATGTGTTTGGACAAGCCTTGCTGCTTCCATTTGTCTGTAGGCAGAGCAAATAGCAAGCTAGTCTTGTACTCTTTGATCGCATAATGTAGGCTCTGTGGACTCACTTCTAATAACTGTATGCTTCCAAATAAAATCTATATTCTTAAATCACTTCATTACTAAGTCTTAAGGCATTAGCAGTATCTCCTCCCCATAAAGTGTCATGATATGGAGGCTACCTGATGTGTTACAAATAAATTTAAATCTTTAGAACAGTCACTTATATGCTAGTGCTAAAGAAAAATTCTTGCAGCTCTGGCCTGAAAAAAGTGAATTGAGATCTTAGTTGGTCAACCCTATTTTTTCCCTGTTATGAAACAATGCTGCTTCTGGTATCTGAATTTCACAATAACTGGTATGTTGATTTCTCCATGTTCTAAATATCATTTTAACAAATACTGAGTGGATTGCTTGTTTGGGTAAAAAAGGCACTCAGGAAGTAGTTGCAGACTCTTGGATGGTTTGCTGTGAAGGATCTACTACTTCAGGATGATATCCTTAAATAGTTTAGGCAGTACTGTGAGATAGGTACTATCACTAGCTAATATACTGAAAGTGCTAGTCTGGCATGAAAGAACCATTAAAATCTTTGATATTGCCATCAAGATTTTTTTATGTCTACAAAGCACTACCATTTTGTCTGGAGTTTAGTTCTGATCTTGTTATTTCAGGAGTGCTTGTGCTGTTAAGCTTTCCATAACTGAGAATAATCAAAAAGCACAGGAAAAAATAGTTGTCTTCTCAGTCTGGTTTTGTTTAAAGATAGATTGTACCTACTTCAGAGTCCCCTACCTGATGCTAATATTTGCATACTGGTGCAAAGCAGGAATTGTTGGGCCTGATTCTAAGGGCTGTAGCAGGAAAATAGCTGAACTGCCTGAAACTCCAAGGTTTGCAGCTTTCATCGTTTCTGAATTAACAGCTTACTATCAGGAAATGCGTGATAAAAAATTAACAGTAAATGGAATAGGAAGATGCTGATACATCTTCCTTGCAGTTCAGTAAATGGTTATTGATCAGAAGCGCACTGGAGAGCAGCATCTGAAGATGGCTAGTTAGGGAAAACATCTCCGTGATGGGAGATTTTTGTACGGATAGTGACTCATTAGAAATGTTTTAGATAGGGGCTGGAGGTAATATCTGTCATACATTTTTCTTACAGCATTCAAAAGTCTTCAACACTTTTTCATTAAGAAAATGTCTATGCTGCTTCTAGGTTCCACGGACTTTGGAAATGTTACGTTTGTAGTCCCTGGGCTTCATCCTTATTTTTATATTGGCTCTGATGCATTGAATCATACTGAGCAGTACACAGAAGCTGCAGGTGAGTGGAAGTGAAAAGGGTTAGAGATTTATATTTGGAGCCCTTATGCATGGTAGGGACTGGTTGCTGACTCTTCACTACAGCAAACCTGGAAATTATAAATATCTCAAATTACAGAGGATTAAGGCTTTTGCATGCTTCTATGTATTCAAAGCTACTGTGTAGTAAATGTATAAAACTGTAAGTACTAGATCTGGAAGTGGCTGCATGTGAATACCTATACAGAAATGGAGTTTCTTTCTTCAAGCATGATGGGATCTGAACTGAATATAGACCTTGAAACAATTAACTTTTGGTAGAGTTGCAGAAAAAAGCTGACAAAATGTAGAATTTCTGTTTTTATGTTTAAAGTTAAATGTATGTCGGAAGGATGACCACTCGTCGTACTAAAAACCTGACTTAGTATACAGTCTAGACAGAAGAAATTAGAGGGATTAACCCTCGCAGCGTATTCAGAAGAGTTTCTAAACATGATCCAAAAGATAAAAGTAACTTTTACTTTGAAGGCATGATACTCTGCAAATGTAATAGAGGTAACAGTATAAAACTGCGCATTTTCTAAAAAGGAAAATGTGAACACTCATTTTCCTGTTTTCAGTCTTAGTTGTTTACATGAGTAGCAGGAAGTTAAGTACTTGCATGTGAAAATTTGTTTTGAGGTATCAGAAAATAGGCATACTTCATGCAAGTACATTTTTAAGAAACTGTTCTTGCAATTTAAACTTGAAGATCTTCTTTTATAGAATATGCCTTAAGCAGTAAGCTGGTGGTTTATATCTAATATTAGTAATCTAACATGAAATTTTTTTTCTACAGGGTCACAGAATGCTCAGTTCTATGCTTTGCGCACAGCAAAAGCTTTGGCAATGACAGCACTGGATGTCATTTTCAAGCCAGGTCTGCTAGAAGAAGTCAGGGAAGACTTTAGACAGGTGAAGCTAAAAGAAGAGGGGCAAATAAATCCAGTAGAATTTAACAAAGAATCTGGTGTTCGCATAGGAGCGTGTGCATCACACTAAACTTCATAAAACCTCTCTCAGTAGGATTGACTTAATGGAGATGCTGTATTTAAATCCCAAAAGGGGCTGGATAAACACATAGCTGAAGAAATGTTGATTTTTTTTTTGGACTTTAGCAGAAGCAAATGGTATCATTGCTTTCAAAAATGTGCAATTTCATCTACCTGTAATGTTTGCTGTATTCAATATGGTGATGAATTTGAGAGAGATCTCACATATGTTATCTTTAAGTTGCAGTGTTGAATAAATGACAGTGTTTAGATCCCTTGTCAGTGATTTTTCTATGTATTGCTAAAGTAATATTCCTTATAGGGGAAATATGGCATTCACATGGTAAGTTTTGTTCTAAAATAAGCACTGTTCACTTGGTGATCATAGGCTGAATCTGACCTATGAAGTGTTTCTCTCTGGCCTGTCACTTTTTCTTGGAACAAGATAGAGGCTTAACCTGAGCTGGTTTCTCTGGAGAAGAGGGTCTGTGTTTGGAAGCATGCCTGGTTTTGACAATAGTAGCTTCTAGCAATGGAAGAGACCCATTTGTATGGAAGTGCAATCTGTAAAGGTTGATTGTCCTGAAATGCATTGACCTTCCTCCCAATAAATTCTGGAGGTCTTTTGGAGAAGTCATCGATGAAAAACTCAGAAAGCAACTAAATGCTTATTTGTTTAAATGAATATGGTTGAACTACTGCAGGAAAATGTATGTGCACCTTTAAGTTTTGTGCTAAGGCAGTACAAATATCCACACAAGGTGTTGCACTAGCGTAACTGATCTGAAGGATGTGTATAAATTTAGCTAAATCAGTGGAAGTTTTTTCCACTAAGATGCAAGCGTGGTACCATGAAGCAGTAAATGAAGGTAACCTTAAACTGATTGTGTGCAAACCCCTGTAGTGAGCTCTGAGAAGCTTGCACTGAGGATTGTTTGTGCAGTGACTGCCTTCTCAAACCTGTTTGTTCCCATACCCTAAGCAGCAGATCTCTTAAGTCTTGCCAGTTGTCCTTTCTGTGTTGTGTGCTAGTCTCTTTAATCCTTGTTAACTGGCTTCCCAGAGACATTAATGTTGCAAATTTTATCTAGGTGGTGTTCTGCGTGTCCAAACACGTTAGGAATTTTTTAATTTGCTTGTTAAAGGATCATGTGAATACATAGAGAAGGAACTAATCTTTTGTTCAGATACAAATTCCTGAGTCAATGGACAGACTGAGTGAAAAAGCAGCTTACTAGTTAACGTTTTCCTGAGCAGAGGTATTACAGTAAGCTTCTGGAAAGAAGTCAGGCAAACTGTATTCCCCAGACAGTATACCCAAAATAATTTCAGAAACCTTGTTTTTAACAGCACCAGTCTCTAAATGGTAAACTCTAGAATTCTAATCAGAATTACTATTTTATTAATTTCTATATTCCATTTCTAATGTGGGCAAAAAACAGATTCCTTGTCTTCATTTAACCGTATACTCCCTCTGTGTTTCTGCGCTCTTTAACACAGACCTCCAGCTGCTATTTAAGAATTCTATTGAGACTTTCCCTTTTCAGAGGAAAAAGTGTGACTAGGCTGGCTTCTGTTTGTCACGTAGACAGTGTAGACAACATAATTTGACAGATTTTAGACTTTCTGATACTTCAGCCTCTGCTTGTAGTGATAGGACACAGACTACCTGTTAATAAATGCTCGGTGTCCTTGGAAAAAGGAGGTAAGTCTTTATCTATTTCAGTAAGAACTTGCAGCCAATTAAAGGGGTTAGGTTGTATTACAAGCCAGTTATTTGAAGAGTTGAGCATGACCAGAAGTATTCCACATTACAAGATGGTCCTTACACCAGTAGCCTTGCTTTTGTTAGACAGCTTTGACAAATGAATGCATGAAATGTAGGAAGGTTGGGCTCTGAGCTATAGGTAGGTCTAGGATAGTAAGTTGGATACTAAATCCAACTGAAATTTGGTCCAAGGTTTGTCAAAGGAACTTTCTCCTTAACTTTTAAACCCTGCCTTGCCAGTTCTTGGACGCAATTACAATTCACTGAGTTCTACTGGGTTAACAAGCTGGTTTATGAATTTCCTTAGCATATGTGGGTTTTTTATTTATTTCCTCCTGCATGAACTGGTTAGTTTCTTGCGTTGCTGTTTTTAAGATGGAGTTTTGGGATTCCTGTGATAGCAATACATGCTGCGGTGTTGTTTCCTACAAGCTGGTGTGCATTACAGCCTTCTCGGTTCTCTTTGTGCAGACTGGCTGTTGGCTGCATCATGTCCAAGGTCATTTGATTAAACATTTCTGCACTGAAAGCATGTCTTAATTTTGTTGTAATCCTTGCTGGAATTACAAGGAAGCTGAAGTACTGATTAAAGATGAGTTGATATTAATAAAGCAATTTAATTGACTGAATTTTCTTGTCCTTTGATTAACATTGGGATGCTGCATGACTTCATTTGAATAGCATGCTTGATTTTTATTTTTTTTCCCTAGTTTGGTATGATCATGTAACAGTGAGGGTGTTTCAAGCTTTCCATTTCGGTCTGCCATAGTGAGCAGGTTTTTGTGAGGGTTAATGCTTTTCAAATACAATATTTAATGGTAGTCTTTATAATCTTAGGGCTGTTTTAACTATTAAAACATGTTAGAATTCATAGAATAATAGGAATGGTGCTTGGGAGAGCTCTCTAGAGGGTCTCTGTTAGGCTAAACTGGGTCCAGCCTCCAGCTTGAAGTGGGGTATCACCAACACTAGATCAGGTGAGCTTGGCTTCGTTTGCTGAATCCTGGAAGCCTCTAAGGATAGAGACTTTTCACCTTCCCTAGGCAAGTTAATTTGTGTCTCAGAATGTTTGTTCTTGAGGTCCATAACTAAAGCAATTTGGGATTTAAAGTTAGGATTTTACTGTCACAAGACTCTGTGTGAGAGAAACTTATTTTTTATGGGAATAAAACTCACTTTGATTTTCAGTAATTTGTGCTCATAATTCACATGTACATGAAAATATCTGGCATGTTTAAGTTACCCTAACTGCAGTCTTCCCCAGACTGTTTGAAACTTAAGAATATTGGGATATTTGTCAAGAATAGTTCAGCTATGAATCAAAATGTGTAGGTAATAAACTGTAATTGCTGGAGTGATTCTGAATAGCTGATAGCAAATCACAGCTGTTTAAGGATGAGGTGATTATGTCCAGACTTTGTAAAGAACTTAAAGCCTCTGCTAACCCACCAAGCTACAGTGTTTCCTTACTCAGTATCTGTCCTAGAACTTGAGTAAAAGAGATGCCTGGTTTAAAACAAAACAAAAAAAAAACATAAAATGCGATGGATTTCTTTTTACGAAAAGATTTGAAGGAGAGCACTTGTCAGCTGCGGAGTTAAGCTCCCCGGTGTAGAAGGGTCCAGGGGCCCTTCTTCAAACAGTAAATGGGAAGCAGCTTTATGTTTTTGTGAATCATATTGCTGTAATTTTTTTCTTGTTGTCTGGGTGCTCTGTAACTGGTTATGTTGCAGTCAGAGCAAGACTCTTTCTGTGAAGAAGTCAAAGCACATTGGCTGCTGAGGTAAGTCTTTGTCCAGTGTTCATTGAGTGATCCCCTCATAACTACTAACAGCATTCTCTAAACAGATTTTTTTTATTTAGAGCAAAGTGTTTAGGCCTAAATAACTTTAAAATAAAAAAGAAAAAGTCAGTCTACATGATTTCCTGTTTTCCCCTAATGTTTACTGTTTCTTCATCCTGAAGGTAGCACCCCTCCACAGAGCCTTTGTCCGCCAGCCTCTCTGGGTGACTGCTGCTGGCACCCACACTTTGTGTTTGTAGTAGGGAGCAAAAGTGCATCCCTCTTAAGAGTTTTTACCCAAACTCGCTACTAAGCCCAAGTTGGATAAGATTGCTGTGGGTTTAGGTTCCTTTAGGCACTAATGGAAGCCAAAAGTATCTGACAAACTCGTCAAGGATTTTTCTCAGTCACAACTGCATCTGAATGTTCTTATTTAAAAATGTAGTGAGAAGCCAAATTTCTCAGTCCTAGGAAAGAATGAAGTCCCCATGGTTGTGGATAGTCTTAACAGCCATTTATGCGGTGCTATCATTTATGATTGCTCTAGAGTACCTACACAAAGTTATCTTTTTGGCTGTTTAGACTCAAAGATAACTGGCAAATGTAGTAACGGCTGATCTCTTCACTTCTCAAGACCCTATCAAGGGTAAAAGCACACAAATGTAGTATGTGTTCACCAGAATTACAGTGCTGGAGCTTTGTTTCGTCACAACTGCTTGATAAGTACTTAAAATTCATCAGGAGCTGTAATTTTCCTTAGTTTTCCTGTTTAAATATACTTTTGATTCTTGGAGACTGGAAAACCTTCACACCCTACAACTTGTTTGGCTTGCATGGATTTGTTCTGGTGTCTGAACAGCTCTGATGCATTGTATTGCCTCTGAGCTACTTGTGACCTGTTGTGGAAGATGCGATACAGGTGGTCTCACAGTTGCTTTTCATTTCTCTTGGCTACTTCTTCAGTGCTCCATCAAGTATGCTGTTACCATCAGAGCGAGCGCAGGAGAGGGGAGTCCCAGGGGTTTCTACTCGCTCGTCAGGGCTTGCAGGGGATTTGGGTCTGTTTGGTACTGAGAGAATCACTTGCTTGGGCATGCAGTGTGTAGAAGAGAGACATCTAATGATTTGAGTATTATCAGAATAACTTTTCACTGGGGAAGAAGAGAGATCATTGATCAATCTTCATGCCTTCTCGCTATTCTGCCTGCTGCTGACTGAAGTTTTGCCTCCTTACTGCTTCACCCTATCAGTAATTATCAGCATACTTAAACATTTGAGGCTTCAGTCTCCAAAGCTCTTAATGTAGACATGCTCCCAGGCAGAACTTGTGTCTGTCCGTAATCCACGCTAACCTGCCAATACACTTCAACTTCTGAAAACAGTGTCATCCCAGGCTGGGCTTTGGGTTAACCTCCAAGAAACTGGTCTGAATTACATTGCAAAGTATCACCCTAAGCAA